GTTAACACTCTAATTTAATTTTCATTTCAATCAATACTTTTCGTAATTTATAACCTATAAGAAACCTAAAATCATAACAAGAGATCACATGCCAGTCACGTGCACGTCTAAAACCATATTTGATGCACTAGGTAGCACCTGACAATGATATGGTTGCATATGTCATTAACGGTTTTTAACGGGCACGTGACCCGCATGTGATCTCCCATCATAGTTTTGGACGTTTTACAGGTTGTTAATTATGAAAGATATTAATCAAAATAAAAATTAATTTAAAGTATTGATTATAGAAAAAAAAAATGTAGGGAGTCAATAGGAGCGTTGGCAAGATAAACTATCTTTATTTTTTTTTTTTAATTGCTCTACCTACTTATGGGTCCCTTCCCTTTTACTCTATATTTAATCAGATACGCCTCCTCAATTCTCTTCATCTCTCCCGTGTTTTCTATAGCCAGACCTCCAAAAAGAAGCATCTATCTATTTCAACTCATTCTCCTGAGAGATTTTAAATTGATTTTGATGATTTTCTTTGAATATTAGGAGAGATTTCACTTATTTTACTTGATTTCTTTTAATTTCATTGCATTTGATGAGACCCATTTTGGGGTTTGACTGCTCTTGTTGGCGACAAATCTGCCGTTTAAACCCAATCTTGGTATCTTGAAACACCAAATAAGGTCTTTCTCTCTCTTTTCCTTCTTGAGTTCATGTTTGTTTTCTCCTATTTTTATTCAAATTCTCTTCTTCCCTATATCCCTGCCCATCTCAATCAAGCAGCAGCAGCAAAGAAAACTGAGGAATTAAAGTAAGGTTACCTTAATTAAAGATTTCTCCTTTGATTCTTTGAATGAGTTTATAAGCGGTTTAGTTTAATCTGTTGTAATTACCATCTAATATATTGATTTCTAATAGTCTCCGCTAACTACTAAAGTTTCAGTTTGATTGAGCTACATGCTTGCAGTTAGGCCTGGCACATAGGTCGGATCGGTGGGTTTAGATTGGGTTAACTTGGAGTTTGAGTTCATCAGGTTAGGTCATTTTGAATTTTTTGAAAATAGGCAATGGAAGTCAGTTGGAATTGTGGTA